TTGCTGGCAGTGTTTGCCAGTCGTGCATGAAGACCAGAGTCTTCCCAGAACCAGTGCAGAAGCACACCCCTGTAATCCTAACCCTGGAAGGTCAGAAGTACACCCTGTAATCCTAGCACTGGAAGGTCAGAAGCACACCCCTGTAATCCTAGCACTGGTAGGTCAGAAGCACACCCTGTAATCCTAGCACTGGAAGGTCAGAAGCACACGCCTGTAATCCTAGCACTGGAAGGTCAGAAGCACACCCCTGCAATCCTAGCACTTGGAAGGTAGAGACAGAAAATCTGAATTTGTTGTTGGTCTAGCTATTTAGTCATATCAGAGAGCTTCAGGTTCACTGAGACGCCCTGTATCAAAAATAAGGTGGAAAGCAACTGAGGACACCAGTGTCAACCTTGGTCTGGACATGCCTGCTCACACACACATACAAATACAGGAGCTAACTCTGGACTTCTACATTCCTCTTTAAAGTCAAGATTTGAAATAAAAACATGTCCCTCCATTCTCACTGAAGACAAAATTCAAACAACTATGAAGCAGTTATCTGTTAAAAAAAAATCTCAAAATGGATCTCAGAAATAGTATTAAAATTCTTATCAAAATAGTAGTTGGTCAAAGGAATGTTAAGAATAGTCTCTAAAAGAACAGCTGAAACACACTTATCCCAAATGTCCTTCTAGCAATGTGAGGGCTGTTTGCTATTGTACCTTGATAGCCTCAATGGCATATTCCACTTGAAACAATCTTCCTTCCGGAGAAAAAGTATTCACACCCCTGTAATCAAGCAAACAGACAATGGTATTAGAACTTGTCAGAAGTATACAGACACTATAGACACTGGCATCAAGTTCCTTGACAACTAGCGCAGATGACTGAGATATACAAGTTGCCAGTCACTCTGCCCACAGCAAGCTTTTCAATCTTTTGTTGGTGTTTTCAAGACACTCAGATCTATACAGAGAACACCTCTCCCCCACTCCTAAGCCTAACCAAAATCTTAACCAAACTGATAGAATGAAAGCACATGACCTGAATCAAACTGAATGACTTCTGAGCCAACCTACCAATTCCTTTGATAAATGCATCCCCCAAGGCTATCACACCATTTCCAAGAAAATGTCTTTTTTTTCTTTCCTTTTTTCCCCGTTATGTGCATTTGATATTGCTGTTTTTTTGGTAAGTCAGTTAAGAATATTTATCTACCTATTTGTATGAAACAGCATTATTGTATTAAGAGACTAAGATCCATATGTTACTAAAATCTCACTAGCTTCCACACTATTCATGCCCATCACATGCTAGACTCCTCTAAAATGCGCTGCCCTAGCCGGGCAGTGGTGGCACACCTTTAATCCCAGCACTCGGGAGGCAGAGGCAGGCGGATCTCTGTGAGTTCGAGGCCAGCCTGGTCTACAAGAGCTAGTTCCAGGACAGGAACCAAAAGCTATGGAGAAACCCTGTCTTGAAAATTCAAAATAAATAAATAAATAAAATAAAATAAAATGCGCTGCCCTCTTGATCCCTCAGGAAAAGAGGCAAACATACCGTTAGCTATAGACACTTTCAGCACACAATCACCATTTAAAATGTTTTTTTTTTTTTTTTTTTTTTTTTTGGTTTTTCGAGACAGGGTTTCTCTGTGGTTTTGGAGCCTGTCCTGGAACTAGCTCTTGTAGACCAGGCTGGTCTCGAACTCACAGAGATCCCGCCTGCCTCTGCCTCCCAAGTGCTGGGATTAAAGGCGTGCGCCACCACCGCCCGGCCATTTAAAATGTTTTTGAATGAATTCATACAGACTGTAATGCTTAGTCTATGAATTCTAAACTTCAACAGTATGCATAGAGCACAGTGCTTTCAAATTTTAAACAAGACGTTCTTCAAAAGAATTTTGTGTGTGCGTGTGTGTGTGTGTGTGAGAGAGAGAGAGAGAGAGAGAGAGAGAGAGAGAGAGAAAATAAATTGCTCATAGTTGCTTAGCAGGAAAAGCGGAACTGGAATCAGAGTTCAAGAAATCTTACTTACAGAGACCAAGCTTTCAACTATTCTATTATACTATCTCTGAGAATTCTTCTCACTAAATGAGTGAAGAGAATCTCACTACCCAGTTCCTCGATCAATATCACTAAAGTCATTTAGAAGGAAGTTCAAGGTTCTAAAAAACAGTCAATCACTGAAAGAAAATCTGGGGTCAAAAGATCTAAGATCGAATGTTCTAAACGATGTGACTTCCTACCCCTACCCTCTTCTTTCCCCTACTATACGCTGTCCTAAGTTCACAGCGACTCCTCCATGGTAGTATCACTTCCATCTTAATGTCCTTGTTACCTTTAACCTAACCAGTGTAATAGCCTCCGAACTGGTGCTGACTTGTTCTTCTAATCCGACCAATTAATCTTATAAAAACAATAGTGATGAGGCAACTCCTTAAAGAAAACATTAAAGCCTGAAATAGGGGCTCCTGAGTATAACGCAGAACTCAGAACACTGAGGTCAGCCTGGGATGGTCAGTTAGCTTTGGTCACCTTGGGCTATAAATGACACCTTGTCTTTGAAAAGTAACAACAACAAAAGACCAAAAAAGGGAGCTGGAGAGATGGCTCAGGAGTTAAGATGGAGAGTTTGATTCCCAGCACTGACACAGTGGCTAAAAACCATCTGTTACTCCAGTTCCAGGAGATCCAACCCCTCTTCTGGCCTCAAAGGACACCAGACACATACACGGTACACGAACGACCCCCCAATTTTTTAATTTTTTTTTAAAAAAGAGGAAATTAATTAGCACACAGCTGCTTATAGAGACTCCAATCCTTACATTCTATTAAACCCATCAGTATCTAGCGCCATCCCAGTTTTCCTTCCCACATCCCCTATTAGCCACAATATGCACCGTACACATGTGGTAATCAGGCCGGACTTTTTCAAATACGCAGTACGCCTTTCCACTGGCTCCTTTGCTCATTCTTTACCATCCAGCAATGCTGTTGACTCTCGCCGTCATGATGGACGAAAATTCTACTTCCTCAGGACCCGTTTGAATTACCAGCTTCTTATCCCCTAACCATGAATGCAGCCTCTCATCAGAATTTCTAATGCGGACTGCAATTCCTTCAGTGCCGTTTTCTGGCTCATACTCCAGTTACTCTTGTACACAGGCGGGGAAGGGTCTTGATTTTTGCTCACTGCTGTATAACCAGCATCCTGAAGAGTGAGGGCCTTGTACCGAGCAAAAGCCTGACATCACCTGCCAAAGGTCTCTACTTACACAGTCCTGAGCAAACACAAAGGAAAAAAATCCCACAGAGCAACTAATACATAGAAAGAAATTAACAACAAACAAAACTTAATAATAAAATCTGTCAGATGAGGACCACAATTTTCTCAAAATTTTAGCACCTAAAGATGATTCTCTTCAATATTCTAGAAGCCAAGAGTTAACAACCATTTTGCTTGACAGCAGGAAACAGTTTTAAAACTTCACATCTATCTTCTATGAGTCAGGGAAAGGATAAAAAAGGCCACTCCAGCTGCTACAATTTTGACAGGATCAGTATATACTTGCCAGGAATTACACAGGCAACGCGGAGCAAAGATGTCTGCTTTCCCTAACTTTTAAAGGAACTTAATATAGCTTGCAGAGCTAATCAAAACAGAAACTGAAAGTTAAAACGTCCACAGCAGTTACAGCAGCATTAGTTAGCATTTCTAACGCCTGAAAGGTTTTTTTTTTTAAATAAACACAATCGCACACCTTTAACTTCACAAGACATTTGGCCTTCAACGGAACACTAAAATACCGTGCTTTCAACTTGTTCTTTTGGTTTTGGTCAAAAGGGACCAGCTTAGTACAGCTCTTCTGAGAATCTCTGTACATTCCAGTTCCTACATAACCAGATGGCAGGCAACTTATCCGGCACAGCTCAAACTGCCTTCGCGCTTTTTTAAAGGCAAAAACGTAAGCACAGCATGTCTCCCAACAAACTCACTCAACAGTGGCTGGTGGCTTTTTATTCAAGCAGCACATTTCACATTGGAAAAAAAAAAGCTGTCACATTTAGCTTGAAAAGATGAAGGCAGAGCTGGTGACCCCCTAACCTTATCCAGGTTAAAGGTCGGATCCCTCCCCACCGCCTGCCCCAAGCACAAACCCCAGTTCTCGCTTCCTCAGGGAGCCGGGACTAGCGGTGACTCAGCGGTAAGACAAGGGTGCCGGAACCGCTCCAGTCTAGCCTGGGGAACCCCGCCTGACGCCTCGGGAACCAGATTCCCCGGGTCCCGCCAGACTTGGGTTCCCGGAGCGCCCCATGACACTGCAGAACCCAGGCCGCGGCCCGGGCCCCGGGCCCGCCCACCCAACTCTAGACCCTGCTGCTTCCCGCCGGACGAACCTGTCGTACTCGGACCGAGTGAGGAACATGGCGAGGACCAGAGGAGGCAGCGGTGGGTACGCGGAGTTTTCAAGGGCCACACGACTCCAAGTAGCACCCTAGTCAACCACACCGCCACAGCACCAAGGAGCCTGCTCCCGTCTGCGCGTGCGCACGCGACCTTTATGGCCCGCCTCCCGGGCCTCCCTTCTATTGGCTGATCGAGATTCTCGCCGCGGTGATTTGACCGACGCACTTCCTCGATGGACCTGAGTTAACACAGGGAGGGCGGGACCAAGGCGCCCTTCCGCTTTCCATCTCCGGTGGTTGCTAAGGGCGCTGGGACTCGAGGCAAGTGGTGAGAGTGAACCTCTCCGAGGTGAGCCCGGCGCCAGATGGGCAGCTGCGAGGCTCGGATTGATAGTGGGTTGGCGGGATCGTGACGGAAGTCCCGCCAGCTCTTCCTCCTTGCGCTCGCAGACCCAGCTCCTCCCGGTCTTCCCTGCTCTGTGGCAACCGGAACCGGCTTTGCTGAGGACTTTGACTTGAGCAGAGAGATGTGTGTGCCTCCGTGCGGAATCTGCACCCGCGCGTCCGGCGCTTCTGCCAGCCTGGCTTGTTGTTGAAAAAAGTTTTAAAAGTTGATAGGTTCTGGTCTGCATGAAAGTTTTTCAAATTCTTGCATGGGTAAGGTTATTTTACCAGTTTCTCCTTGGATTCGCACACATCCCACCACACCCTAGCTATCCAAGTTTCAGATCCAAAGATTCAGAACTCAAGACCTGAAATTTAGGTTAGTCACTGCTTTTTCATGAAGAATGAGTACCTTCTTGTCGTATTATGCTTCTTGTTTCTTCTTTCTTTCTTTTCTTTTCTTTTTCGAGATAGAGTTTCTCTATAATTTTTGGAGAGTCCAGGAACTAGCTCTTTTAGACCAAGCTGGCCTCGAACTCAGAGATTTCCCTGCCTCTGCCTCCAGAGTGCTGGGATTAAAAGCGTGCGCCACCACCGCTCAACTTGTTTCCTTTTCCTGAAGGTAGAAAAACAACTTGAGAGCTTTTTAGAAACATTGTAAATGAATTATGTATCAAAGAAAGATAGGCGACTAAGAAGTCCTGGCTCTCTAGGAATGTAACTCGGTGGCAGAGTACTTGCTTAGCATGCATAAACCCCTGGTTTGAACCCATCTTGGGAGTGGGGGGCGTCCTAGATGTGGGTTGGGGAAGGAGTGGTTAGAGTACAAAGTTTCAGCTAAGATTAATACCTAGTGGCGATACCTGGTACAGCAGGGTGACGAGTTTATATCTTATACTTGAAATTTTCTAAGATCAATTTTGATAACTACCAAAAAAGGTAGTGGCTGTTAGCTTAACTTAATCATGATATTATACATATATTAAAACATCATTCCGGTGGCTGAAGAGATGGCTCAGCAGTTAAGAGCACTGTGTGTGGGCTGGAGAGATGGCTCAGTGGTTAAAAGCACTAGCTGTTCTTCCAGAGGACCCAGGTTCATATTCCCAGCACCCACATGACAGCTAACAACTGTCTGTAACTCCAGTTCTAGGGGATCTGACACCTTCACACCAATGCACATTATTTAATTATGTGCATTATTTAATAAAGTTAAACAAATTATTTAAAAAAAGAGAGAGAGAGAGCGCCAAGTACTGTTTCAGAAGACCCAAGTTCAGTTCTCAGCCTCCTTGTCTTCTCATAACCACTTTTATTCCAGCTCTAGGGGATCCACTGCTGGCACCTATACCTCTCTCTCTCCACCTCTCTCTCTCTCTCTCTCTCACACACACACACACACACACACACACACAAACACAAACATCATTTGGGGCTGAGTGTGATGGTCCCTTTAATCCCAGCACTCGGGAGGCAGAAGCAGGTTTATCTCTGAGTTCAAGGCCAGCCTAGTCTGCAGAGTGAGAGTTCCAGGAAAACCAGGGCTACACAGAGAAGCCCTGTCTCAAAAACAACCAAAAAAGAAAGAAAAAGAGAAATACTCTTGCTATAGCGAATACGTGGGGATGAAAGGCACTCGCAGCCTCTGCTAATACCCAGTGCGGTGATGAATGTCCATCTCCCAGAATGCACCGCTCTAGAGCAATTTGCTTGTGCACATATGCCAGCAATGCAGGGGGATTGTGGGTAAAGAGGAAAGCAGATGTCTCAACCTCAGTGAGAGACCCTGTCTCAAAACTAAAGCGGGAAGCGATGGAGGAAAAGGCGGATGTCGGATGCTCTTAACTGTTGAGCTGCGTGTGCTCACACACACATAATCACATCATTTCTCACTGTAACACTTCACGGAATGTCTTACCTGTGAATAGTCACTTTCATTGGCAGTTAAGCCAGGTGTCTGCCCCCCCCCCCGGAAAATAATAAAGGAGCCAGAAGAAGGCAGACTAAAAGGTTCTTCATAAGTAACAGAAAAAGGAATGATCAGTATGAATCCCAGGTCCTGAGCCCCAGATCATCAGGTCTGAAACTTTTATGGAGTGGTGGAATGTGTATAAATCCAAGAAATGCCTGGCAACATAACCTTAACCATGCAGAAGTTAGGTTTTTGTTCTTTCTTTTTAAAAAACGGTTTATTATATATAGTGTTCTGGCTGCCTGTATCCATGCAGGCCAGAAGAGGGCGCCAGATCTCATTCTAGGTGGTTGTGAGCCACGTGTGGTTGGTTGCTGGGAGTTGAACTCAGATAGGAGTACCTGAGTTCTTAACCTCTGAGCCATCTCTCCAGCCCCTCACCCTTACTTTCTTTTTTTTTTTAAATATTTATTTATTATGTATACAATATTCTTTCTGTGTGTATGCCTGAAGGCCAGAAGAGGGCACCAGACCTCATTACAGATGGTTGTGAGCCACCATGTGGTTGCTGGGAATTGAACTCAGGACCTTTGGAAGAGTGGGCAATGCTCTTAACTGCTGAGCCATCTCTCCAGCCCTCACCCTTACTTTCTTATAGGCTAAAACCTACCACCTTGGAGATGAAGAAAATAGGCTAGTGGTAAAAGGCGCCAACCACCAATTCTGACAATCTGAGTTTGAGCCCCAGGACACACATGGTTGAGGGAGAGAACCGAGTCCTGCACATTTTCCTCTGCTCGCCACACACACCACCTGGTCACTCTTTGTCCACTACTTGACACAACCTGCACTGAGGAATTGCCTACATCAGACTGACCTGTAGGCATGTCTGTAGAATGTTGTCTGATTGCTAATTCATGCAGGCAGCCCAGCTTCCATAGCCTTGTGGTCCTGTGCTGTGTTCGAGAGCTAGCTAAGCACGAGCTGGTGAGTGAGCAAGCCAGCAGCTCCTCCACGCTGCGGCTCTAGTTCCTGCTTAGGTTCCTGTCCTGACTTCTCTCAGTGGTAGACTGTGACCTGAAGGATAAGACAGATAACTCTTTCCTTCCCAAGCCGCTTTGGTCAGACTGTCTTATCACTACAACAACGAGACTACATCCCATGGCATTTGTGTCCACACATAGGCAAAATAAATAAAATATAATCTAAATTAAAATAAAATACCGAAACCTACCAACCTTTCTCAGCAACAAGCCAGGCAGCCTGAAGCACCCAGCACTGGTTCAGATGCACTGGACTGCACACACCTCTGCCCCCAGAGAAGCCATTAGGAAGAATCCCTACTTTGGATTCTTCTTTTTTTTTTTTTTTTTTTTTTGGTTTTTCGAGACAGGGTTTCTCTGTAGCTTTGGTGCCTGTCCCGGAACTAGCTCTTGTAGACCAGGCTGGCCTCGAACTCCCAGAGATCTGCCTGCCTCTGCCTCCCGAGTGCTGGGATTAAAGGCGTGCGCCACCACCGCTCGGCTGGATTCTTTTTTAAAAGCCTATAATTACCCAACTTGCAAGACTTTCTGACTACATGTAAGATAGAAATTTTTATTGCCTTCCTTCCTTCATTTATTTATTTTTTGTTGTTTTGTTTTGACACAGGGTTTCTCTGTGTAGCCCTGGCTGTCCTGGAACTCACTCTGTAGACTGAGGTGTCCTCAAACTCAGAGATTCACCTGCTTCTACCTCCCGAGTGCTGGAATTAAAGGTGTGCGCCACCACACCCTGCAAAACGTTTACTTTCAAATAGCTTCCAGAAAGTGTATTACTGTTTCAATAACTTTTGATAAAGGCACACAGTAGAAGGGGATGGGGAATGTTTCTGAAACTGAACCAGGAAGAACACCTCAAACTTTGCATGGTTTTAACAGAAGCGGAGAATGGACACCTGGGCAGACAGTAGCAAGATAGAGAGACTGCCTTTTCCAGGTAATTTAAAAACCTAGTGGTCTCTGTCTTTCTTCTTCTTCTCTCTCTCTCTCTCTCTCTTTTTTTTTTTTATTTTTTTTTTTTTTTTGGTTTTTCAAGACAGGGTTTCTCTGTAGCTTTGGAGCCTGTCCTGGAACTCCCTTTGTAGACCAGGCTGGACTCGAACTCACAGAGATCCACCTGCCTCTGCCTCCCAAGTGCTGGGATTACAGGTGTGCGCCACCACCGCCCGGCTGTCTTTCTTTTTTTTTTAAAGCCTGGTGTGGGTAGTCATCTGTAATCCCATCACTAGGAAGGCAGAGGAAGGAAGACACACTACTAGTTCAAGGCCAGCCTGCTCTACAAAGTGAGTTATAGACAAATCAGAACTGTATCACGAGACTCGGTATCAAAAGTCAAACAAGAATTATCTATAATTAGTTGATGATAACATGTGCATATATACTTGGTCTTTAAAATAAATGAAACTCGGGCTAGAGAGATGGTTCCGTGGTTAAGAGCACTGGCTGCTCTTCCAGAGGACACAGGTTCAATTCCTAGTACCCACATAGCAGCTCATAACTGTCTGTAACTCCAGTTACAGGGGATCTGACATCTTCACACCAATAAATAAAGTAAATTTTAAAATAAATGTATAATTTATAAATTAGAATAATTTTATAAAATATATTTGAATAGATTTTTTTAAAAAAAGAAATGAAACTGATATTTGTTACAACTTGGGTGTTTTTGGTAAGGCTGGAGTATAGTTCATTGGTTGAGCACTTCCCTGGCATGCATAATGCCCCGGAGTTTGATCCCCAGAACTGTACAGAGACTAGGGGAGAGGTAAGAAAAAAGAAGTGCTAAGCAGGTAAGCAGGACCCAAAAAGCCAAATATACGATTCTCTCTATGAGGTACCTAGAATAGTCAGGTCATAGAAGGGACAGTGGTTCCCAAGGATAGGGAGGCAGACATGGAGAGTCATAATTTAATAGGCACAAAGTTTTTTCTAGAAGAAAAGTTCTAGAGATAGTCAGTGGTGATGGCAATCCAATAACACGAATGTTCTTAATGCCACTGACACATGTGTTTAATAATTGTTAGGCAGGTAAATTCCATCTTACGTGCAGTTTAAAGTTAAAAAAAGGAAGTGATTGAAATGTGAGTCTTTTGAGGATCAATACTCCCTGTACTACCCAGTATGCCACAGAGACTCTAGACTGATACATTGAGAGAGAAATAAAAAACAAACAGGAGCTAATAAGCATTCCAATCACACAGAGATTAATGTGTGTCTTGGAGAAATAGAAGGCTTTTGTTGTGCCGGTTTTGGCGATGCTGATATCAGACCCAGAACCGTGCATAAGCATGTCCTCTATCACCGAGCTACATGCCCAGCCCTGACTGAAGTAAACTGAGAAAGTACAGTAGTTCATAGTGTCACTTTTAATTTTTAGTGTTTTCTAAATAAAGCAAACAGAAGTTTGTCAGTGTCCTGTCAAGTGTCAACTTGACCAAAGCTAGGACTGTCTGGGAAGAGGAAAACTCAACTGAGAAAATGCTTCCATTTCTGGGGAGCACTTTTTGACTAGTGATTGACGCCGAAGGACCCAGCCCACTATGAGCAGTGCTATCTATCCCTGGTCAAGTGTCAAGGTATATAAAAAAGCAAGCTGAGCAAGCCAATACACAGCTTTTCACCATGACCTGCTTCAGCTCCTACCTCTGGCTTCCTGCCTTGAGTTCCTACTCTGGTTTCCCCTCATGAAATAAACCCTTTTCTCCCCAGGTTGCTTTTGGTCATGGAGTTTTAACACAACAAGAGACACCTAACTAGGACATTAGATACATCCTTTGTAAATGGAATACTGCCAGAAGAGTGCTGTTGCTTCATGGAGAAATGCCGTCTAGACATTAAAGTTCCATGTTCATCCGCAGAATGAGAGTTCTTAAACATTCTGGTACTTTTTTTGGACATTTTTCCAAAGAAAGGAAAGGGGGTCCTTAACTGAATGTTGTCATAATTATTTTATGGATATAGCGCAATGTCTAAACTGTGTTACAATAAAGCATGTTACTTTTCCAAGTATGATCTAGAAACCTTGTCTTTCCACAGGAAGTAAAGAGTTTCTGAAGCTGATTGCTCAATAAATATTAGAGAAATAGAGTTCTTTGTTAATAACAGGATTTCTTGATGTTAGACATTCCTGGGCAAAATGCAGGAACTATGTGGGGAATTTTTTAAAGTGATTGCAAATCAATTGAAGTCTCTTTGCTCTTCTTAAATATTATGTTCTGCAAATCCATCTGTCCACATTTATCTCTAGCAGCTACAATTTGTTATTTACATAAAAAGACATTTTAGATTTGGCTGCTTCCTTATATGAGATTTTTTTAACCTCAATCATTTTGTAGGAATATTTAAAAATAACCACTTTTAATGCAAGGATATTGGGAGTTTTATCTAGCTTTGATTCTCGCAAGTGTCTCCAGAAATAGTAGTTGGCAGTCCTGGCTGATGACTGAGCATAGTGGGAGAGCTCTTCGACACCGGGGGCTCCACGCTTTTGAGGCTGCTGATTGAGGACAAGTAACCAATGTTCGTGCTGCCCAGGGCTTTGCTCTGCCCATCATAGGAGTCAGGCTTGGATCATAGGCTGCAGCCTCTTGCATTTTCTTTCTCTTCCCTTTTATCTTGTACAGATATTTTCCTCAATATGTATGTCTTAGAACTTGCGAACTGAACTGAGTTCTCAAAATTTAACCCCAGCCCTCAATAACTCAGAATGTGACTATATTTGGATAGAGATAGGGCTTTTAAAATGGCCCTCCAAGGAGCCAGTTAGGGTGGCCCCTCTACACTCTGACTGACGTCCTTAGAAAGAGAGGGAATCGGACACACTCAGAGTCACCAGGAAGAAATGCTCACAGAGGAGAATGGCTGTGGGAGCATACACCGAGAAGAATGCTATCTGCAAACCTCAGAAGAAACCAAACCCATCATCACCTTGACCTTGAACATCTAGCCTCCACAACAAATTTCTGTTGTCCCAGCCCCCTGCCCTGTACTCTTTTGTTCTGGCAGCTTTTGGAAATCAGCACACATGTCAGATTCCAATTTGCTATTGGCTCGTTGGTGCACCCAGACTACAGCAGTGGTAGAAGAGATCCAGGGAAACACAAAAGTTCAATGCCTTTCACTCCGGCTCGCCCAAGAGGATGCCATGCTAAGTAGCGGGAAGATGAGTGGTTCCCAGCACGAGGTGGCAACCCACTTGCTAAAGGCTTTACCATTGTTGACCTGAGACAGACTAGCAGAGGGAAAACCCTTGCAAGCATAAATTCAGGAATTTCAAATCCACTGGAAGATAATACTTATAAGGACAGCATAGCTGTCTGGTTGCTGCCAACCAGACTCCAAAGAAGGATAATGGAAAAGCCAGCGTCTCCTTTGGTGAATGACCACGTTTGAAAGACTGAGGCTCTCTTTAGTAGCTTACCAAGAGATTGTATCCTTGTAACTGAAGAACTGACACAGATGAGCCACAGACTTGGGACTTGGCCGTCACAGAGCTACAGAGTTAGACCCTTATTTGAAAAAAACAAGAGACACCGAAGCAATGGGTGGAACATCTAGGTGGGCATCATTAAGGACACTTGCACTGCAGGTCTTGTGTACTTTCTAAGGTGGCAGAGATTGTCTACCTCTCTACAATAGCATAATAAGAGGGACTACAGAGTGGCTCTCCCACAAAAAAACACACAGTTGTCCCTACCTCCTCTCCTGGCTGCCAGATTTTACTCCAAGCAAAGCCCAGCTGGGACCTGATAAAGGAGATTTTATATCACAGAGCTAAATGAGTTAACTAATGTGCAGAAAACAAAGGACTATTCTAATATCATTTAATTTTGAGGTTGCCTGATCAAAGAGGCTGGGATATAAAACTAGACAAGAATCACCAACCCGGGGGCACTTCTTCAGACAGAGGGTTTAATACCCTAGCAAGGACCAGGGACTGAAAGTCTTTGCTGGGTCGTCCTAGAAGCCTGGAGAAATTATGGTCAATGCTGAGCAAAGTAGAGGTGTTTTTGAGTTGCCCCAATACCTCACAGAGGAATAAACAACAATGTAGGAAAATTCGCTGTACACAGATCAGTACTTTATATGAGATCAGGTCATTGTTTCATAGAGGAGTCCAAAAGGAACACCCTTACCCAGGCCACCAAAAATGCCCAGGTAATAGGGGCAACAGTATCACTAAGGTCTCTGCTAAATGGGGCTGTCAACTGGAGAGTCCCTGACAGAGCTGGGACTCACTCATAATTGTGGGAATGATATCACTCCACTGTCCATATAATGGAGCCAGATGGTGCTAATCAGGCACCAGATCCTATGCGGTCCAATTACCATAAAGACCAGCAAGATCTGGCAAGAGAAGCAGTGGACATGTCCAAGTGATCCTGGTGTTTGTCAGAGACCGTCTCCCCCACGTTGGCCGTAATTTCCAGTAGAGTTTTCTATTGAAAGTATCAGGGGTGAGAAAAGATGCACGCGGGAGCTTGTGGTGCCTACTTTTGTATTAATTTGACTGGGCTATTGAGTTCCCAGGTTTTTTGATTAGAGACTGTTCTAGGTGAGTCTGTGAGAGTGTTTCTGAGTAAGTTAGCATTGAATTGGCAGACTGAGTAAAGCAGTTTGCCTGTCTTCTGTGGTGAGCCTCAGCCCATCTGCAGAAACCCTGAATAGAACAAAAAGATTGATAAGAGGGAGGGCCTTCCTGGCCGCTTAAAGTGAGACATTGTCTTTTCAGGCCTTTAGGTATGACCTGAAACACCAATTTGTGGGGTAATCCTTTCGCACACCATAAAGTTGAGTCTCTGCCTAAGGCACCTTCTGATTGGTTAAATAAAGAACTGAATGGCCAATAGCTAGGCAGGAGAGAATAGGCAGGACTTCCAGGCAGAGAGAAACACAGGGTTAGAATCTAGGTACTGCAGAGACACCAACAAGATGTGGAGCAAGTAGAACATAAGATGCAGAGGAGTAACCGAGCTCCATGGCAGAATGCAGAGTGATAGAAGCAGGTTAAATGGGGCTATAAGAGCTGGTGGGGAGAAAGTCTAAAGGCCAAGCTTTCATATTAATACTAAGTCTTTATGTCATTATTTGGAGGCTGGCCATCCAAAAACAATCCAGCAAGAAAGCTAGCTGCATGAGGTCTTCTTAGTTCTCAGGATTTCCAGCCTTCAGACTCAGACTTAAGCCATTGGCCCTCCTAGTTCTTGTTAATTTAGACTGAAATCAATTATACATCACTTCTCCTGCGTCTCCATCTTGTTGACTACAAATCTGAGGATTTGTCAGCCTCCATGGTCACGTGAAGCAATTATTTTCTCAATTTCCATCCCTCTTCCTTTCCCTTTCCCTCTTGAGGGACTAGGACTAGGTACAAAGACAAAGGAAAGAGGCTCTAAGAAGATTAATGTATGCTTCACTTAACATTTAAGATGGCTGACTTTTGGGTTAACCTTTCTTTCTCAGGCATTAGTTACAGTAATGAAGACTTAGTAAAATTGGAGACCAACTCTGGGCTCTAATATAGCACTATTATTCAAGGAAACCACTTGAGTAATATAGTAATACTAGTGACAGGTTGACTACATTGGATTGCCTTTATTCTGGAGGGGACAGTGGTCCCTTATCACAGTGGGTATCACCTGTTCTGGGTATTGGTTTTCTTTTCCTACTCACAAATCTTCAGGTAGGACTGTTACTGTAACTCCCACCATCAGGGAGCATATGGTATTCCCAACCCACAAGCATAGAACACTGTGAAGCAGTGCTTTAGGATAAAGGAGCTGAGGTGCAAGAGTAGCCCCATGGAATCCACTGGCCATGCCATACCACGCAAGGAAGAGTCTCGCCTTTCAGGGAACTAAAGTGATTTTCTTATTGCGAGAGTGAAGTTCTAAAGCAACTCTGAAGGAGAATCAGGATGTGGAATGTGTATTATGACCCAAGTGAGAAAAGGAGACATGCTCACTAACCAAGGACTGGACACTGGAACAGCCTCAGTTACCTTTCCTTCTAGAGCCCCACTATTTTTAATATCCCAAATCTAGGCTTGGCTGATCTAGTCCTCAATGGAACTACACTTTAATGAGCAAACACAGTGTCCAGTTGATCTACAAGCAGTGACTGCTCCGGGGGCACTCTAGACTCCTGAAGTCAAGTGTCCAGTTAGTAAGAAGAGGTGTCACTGTCACGACAGAGGACACAGACCAGCTTAAAGCCCAGGTGATACGTTTAGGTGTCCCCTATTATTCTTACGGCCTATTGTAACTGTGCGAGCACATGGAACAAATACGACCAGAGAAGAGCTGAGCTGTCCCATAGTTCACTGAGACCAGCCAAGGTGGTGCTAAGGGTTAGGGAGTTAGAGTCGGTCATGGAGGAGAGAAAAACACTATCAGCTGTGTCGTCTGAGATCAACTGTTATAGTTAATACCACTAACTTTGCTCTAGAAGTTTCCCTTTAGGAAGAGAAATGTATGGGAACTTGGAAAGGCTTCTCAGAACCTGCTCGAGGGAGTAGATCTGTGGGCAGAGACTGTGACGCCTATAAAAATAATCCATTCACATCGTCTATTGCGGGGTCACAGGTGATTGGTTAACCTGGCTGCTGGCTTTCAGAATCCATCAGTGTGCTTGCATCTGAGACCATGCTTCTTACTGAGTTATTCCTAGCCAAGGACTTAATTTAACATGAGCTTACTAAAGCAGGCTCACTCCTGCAAGACTTAGGACCCAACTATTGTTCTGATTTGGT